TTTTTTTCTTATATTCAGATATCTGTGGGAATAAATGTGCAGTTAATCTTCGGTCCACTGACAGAGAAGGGGAATTCCACTGCTCTGGACTCTGGTCCACTTGAGATTAAAGTGGGCTGTTTGTGGCCAACAACGCAGAGTCTGACATTCCTGGTTTAGAGCATGAAAGTGAGTCAGAGTCACACCTCTGCCATCGACAATGAGGAAATAACAAATAATAAGTCAAGCTACAGCTGGAGGAGTCAGCGTGTCTCTTTTTATATTTTAAATAATAATGTAATGTAACAGCTTGTAAGATGACTTTGACTTTTTTAAACTGCGACTTTGCAAACACCTCCCACGTCAGAATATTAGAGACACGTAATGGTTTTCTTTGTCACCGCTGAAGCTATCAGGGACACCTGAGCTTTACCTGCTGTGACCAATGACAAGTCCGCTTTTCTTTGATTAATCAAAAAAGAAAAACATTAATTCATTAAATAATTAGTTCAATCGTTAGTTTAACAATCAGACAAAAGTTGTTTTTACAATTTAAAGTGAGCAGTCTTTAAGTTAAAAGAAAAGAAACTCTCAACCAATCAAAAGCGCCATTGTGACAGCGACGTGTCAGCCCCTCACAGGCTGTGTCGTCATCAGACAGCGACTATAGCTGCCGAGCAGATTGTAGTTTTCCTCTTTTGTTGTTTATAACATCGATTATGTCCTACTGTAATAAGAGAAGCAGACCTCAGCTGCTCAATAATAATTAATTTAGTTATTAATGTGTTAATAGCTGACTGATAGATCACATTGGAGTGGGTTACAGTGAGCTGCGCGGTGAATTTACTTGAATTCAAATTTAATCCACGTAAAATTTAATTTTACGATTCAGGATTTACCGGTAGCTCCGTGTTTCCCTGCACGAGGGCTCGTTTTAAAGCGGGAGTTTTACAGCGAGAAATAAAGACACCGCTCGGCGGAGGCACTTACGATGCCCTCGGAGAAGGTGTGCACGACTCCTCCCGGTTTCACGTTGAACTCCACCGTCTTCGCCTGCTCCTCGGACGCCTCCGCCGGGACACGCGCTGCAATCAGCGCGAGCGCAAACAGAAACGCCAGATTACCGGCGCAGGTGTTACTTTGACGAGCCATGTTTTCCTCCTCTGACCTGCAGCTGGTGCGAGCAGCGCCTCCGGTGTCCCGTCCACTGTGAGTGTCGTCACACTCCACGTCACGAACGGTGTAAAACAGAAACAAAAGGGCTACGAGTAACATCACCGCGCGTGACTGACAGATAATAATTAATAATAATAATAATAATAATAATAATAATAATAATAATAATAATAATAATAATAACTGTGTTAAATGTTGACTGAATAAAGTTACTTTAATGGAGACGCTGACCGTGTTGGCCACACGGTGTCGCTGTAGTTTAACCAATTTTACACTACTTTATGTCTAAGGGATACTAAGGGTATTATTATTATCATCATTATCATCATCATTATCATCATCATTATTATTATTATTATTATTATTATTATTATTTAAACACGAAGAAATAATTTAATTTTAGCATTTTATTTTACTTATTGTTATTATATAAGTGATGTAACAAAAGAGAGATAAATAACAGAGATATATGAGGTGTGAAAGAGTTTCTATATTTGTCCTTGTGGCAGTAGAGATAATTCAGTCTGTTAGAAAATGTGCTCTGCTGTTTGTCCCGTAAGTGTTGCAGGGGGTGGTCAAAATGACTGAAGAGTCTCCACCACACCTGCAAAAGAGTCCAGTTTGCAGCCCATCACAGAGTCGGCCTTCATCAGCTTATTGGTGCTTGTGTGTGTCTAAAGCTCAGATGAAGCTCCCCCGGCAGACCACAGCAAAGTATGCCGTGATCACCACAAACTGAGTGGCAGAAAATGATCACTGAATGATCTCAGCCTCCTCAGACAAGAGAGGCTGCTCATCCCCCATCATGCAGCCGGTGTGCTGCTCTTCCATTTCAGCCTGTTCTTATTTATATGCTAATTTGTAGCATTACACCACTACAACCTTTCTAATTCTACACTCTGCTGCATTTATCTGCTAGTTTACAAATTCTTTGTGCAAATTGATTGAAATCCTGGAAGGCAAAATAGTTAAGCCTGCAGTATGTCATCTATAATTTTTAAAAAGGGGTCATTAGTTGGTGCGATCATTGGTAAAATGTCTGACGCTCTGATGCTGGGTTATTTTATATAACGCCTTTAGATTACTTATGCAGAACAATTAGTGTTTAAGCAACATGTTGCTGTTTCTGCTGCTGAGTAACTTTGAAGTATTTCATGTGCAGAAATATTAATATGTGGAGGCCAAATTAATGAGATGGGTCCAGAACTTTAATTAAATTGAATTTATATAGCAGCAAATTACAAGGCGCTTTGTACTGGAAGGTAAAGATCCTACAGAAAAGCCCAACAATCAGAACGAGGCTGACATCTGTATTTATTATTTTTTAACCACCTGGCTGTAGCCCTGAATGTTTGGCCAAGGATGTCACATTCAGGTGTGAAGGGGTGAGGTCAAAGGGCACATTTTGTCTTTCCAAACACATGCAGCAGTTTAAGAGCAGCATTAGCTGCTGGCTCGTTGTTCTTGTTCTTTCGCAGCACAGATACTGAACGTGATAACATCCTTCATTAGGATGAAAGCTAATAAAGCACACTGCAGTGTGTCCACATTTTCTCCACAGCAATGTTTGTATTTCCTATCTGGGATCTAATAACACACTCACAGCCTACATATGTTCCACAGCCCTTTTAAAACTGTCTATACTGCTGTAGTTATAACTTTTGTTATAGAGTTTTATGTATAGTATATTTTATATAGTATATTACACATTGTGGCAATGCTTACAAGCATATACAAAGCGGGATGAATGAAATACTTAGATCAGCCCGTCTGGCACCAACGACCACGAGACTTTTAAACGACCTTTTTCCTGATTTTGCTGTTCAGTTTGAACTTCAGCAGGTCGTCTCGGCCACGCCTCTATGTCTAAATGCACTAACGTGCTGCCACGCGGTTGGCTGATTAGAAATTTGCGTTAATGAGGAGTTGAATGAGGAGAATAAGTACTTAAACACGGCTCTTGCTGTTACAGTTAGAAACTGTTGCTGTCACGCTTCTGTACAGAACCACAGCAGATGAAATGAGTCAGTTAAGATGCAAATGAAGAATCTCTGCTTTAACTCGAGCGGTTGAACAAAGATCCTGCATCAACACTTGACGAACAGCTGTCATATTATTTACTCACATGTAATTGCACAAATTAACACAATAATAAACGAGCTGTTCATTTTCAAAACTTTGTCATAAATCCAGTAAGATTATTTGTTTTGTAATCCACACATATTAAATCCAGACTACAATAATTAGGCGTGTGTAAACTGAATTTCTCTAGGCGCTGTTTGAGGCCCGCTCTGCCTCAGCAGGCTGTGATTCATGAGGAAACCCTCCGATTAAACTTTGCACTCGTCTCGTGCTCTTACACGAAAGCATGATAGCAAACATGTCGACAACTGTCTTTTTCACACTGCAGTAACATTTTGTTTTACACGAGGCAGCAGCACAGTCTCGCGTCTGCTCACGTCTCCGTGGACGTGTTTTCTATGTCTCCGGAGCCAACATGCGTCCTCCCGGTGTAGCGTGAACAGATGTTCGGCACGGCAGGAGACACGCTAACGTCGTCTGACAGCCAAGTGTAAAACCCATAAAACAATATTTAAGAACAGAAATAAATGGAAGGCTTCAGCTGGACGACCCCCCGCCCTCTCTCCCCTGCACCTCCTCATCCAGACCTCCTCCCGGCCCCAAAATAATACAATAACAGGATAAATAAACCAGCATGCATTTGCACAGGGCTGTCGAGTGTTTGCTTCAGGAGGCAAATCACACACAGGGTTCTTCTCTTTCAAACGGGAAGCTGTTGAATCTACAGCGGTGTGTAAACGGCCCAGTTTAGAGAGTCCAGGTAAACATTGTTTCCACTTTTGGGACATCAGACGCCGCCGGCGGGAGAGCCGAGAAATTATTCAGTCATTCCCCCCGCTCGCACAAATAGCTTCGACTCTTTGCTTTAGACAAACAGTTCACTCACAGCAAACACAGCACGGATGGAGGGAACATTAAGTCGACGTAGAATAATTTCACTGTGATGGAAGCTCGTATTCCCGACTTTACACACACACTCACACAGTGGGAGGAAAACAACACAGCAGCACGTCGGTGCTTTTATATGTGTGTGTGTGTGTGTGACTCTACAGGCGTCAGGGTTAATTTGGTGCTTTTATTAGTTGTGAGCAGCTGCTGTGGAGCTGAGTCGCCTTGTGGCGAGAAAACTTTCCAATTTCTTCCTCTTAGTTAAAACAAACAACACAGGAAAACTGTATCGTTTGTTTCTTACCTCTGGGTGATTGATCACTGTGGCTACAACTGCAATGTTTTGGTATTTATGTATTCATGGTGCTGATGTCTGCGATCGTATCGATCTGAAACAGTCATATGTGATGGTTTTACGCTGTTATGAACATCTGGACCCACAGTGGGCTGAATACAGGAAGAGATCACACTGTGCACGTCGTGATGCGGCCACTGGTGTTTGGTGTTAACAGCAGATGTAGTGACTACATTCATCTGACACTTTATTAGGTACACCTTGTCAGATCTGCCGTATTTCTTCGTGGCTCTGATTTTCACTGGAAACATTCCTGGGATATTCTGGTCCAGTGTTGGTCAAGTTACTTGAAAAAGTAATCAGTAACTAATTACTGATTACTTCCCCAAAAAAGTAATCCCGTTAC